ATCAGGTTTTCACCGACGGCTCTGTTAAAGATGCAGTCAGAAAGGGAGGTTGTGGAATATACATTAAACCCCCTAGCAGTAGAGCAGAAACTCTCTCTCTCTCTCTCTCTACCAGCAGGTGAGATCTGCACTAACTTCAGAGCTGAGGCAACTGCTCTCCTTTCTGCAGTCCAACATCTCATCACTCAAGAACACAGAGGGCACAAAATTGTTATACTTAGTGACTCATTGTCTGTTCTCCAAGCGCTATCAAGCAAAAAACAAGACAAACTATTTGCAGATCTAAGGACCAACATTGGCTTACTCTCCAAGGAAGCAGAACTGGTCTTGCAGTGGATACCAGCCCACTGTGGTATTCAAGGAAATGAGAGAGCAGAAGAGTTGGCAAAAGCTGGGAGTAATCTTCCACAACCTCATTTACCACACTGCTACAAGGAAACCAAAACAGCGCTATATCAGTCTTTCGAGCGGGAGTGGAGAAGGCAGAATGGAGATTACAAACCAGATATTGACAGCATAAACAAACTCAACAGGAAAGAACAAACATCATTTTTTAGACTCCGGACTAGACACTGTAATCTTCGAGCACACGTGTACAGGACAGGCATAAAAGAATCTGCTGCCTGTGATTGTGGAGCAGAAGGACAGACCGCTGAGCACATACTGCCCTTACCTCTCCCAGCAAAGACTGTGGACCTGGCCCATGGGATCCACATTGCGAGAGAAGCTATGGGGGACCGGTGGCGACCTTAAACGCACAATTCTATTTGTGACCTACACGGGACTCAATGTTTAGCATGACTGATGTCGAACGCAGAAGAAGAATAAAATTAGAAAGCTGGGAAACCCATCTTACCACCCTCTAAAATCTTGGACTGTCCAGTGACGTTTTCTGGGGTAGGATAATAACAAATCACTGTGAGATTCGCACTCATATCCATAAGTTACCACGGGAAAGATGCATGATTTCAAAATGTTTAACCAGCTTGCAGCTGTTCGTTAGACCCATAGTTGATAAAGTTCGTCAAATAACAAACCTTCAACATTTTTATATTGGCCAAGAAAAAAAAAATGAAACAACAATGATAATTCTATAGAATGTATAGATACGTCGAAGAGCCTTTCCTTTCAGGACTTCAAAATTATAACTGAAAGTGAGTTTGCAGGTCTTTATAAGTATGCATAAATGCACTTTGTACGGCTGGAAATTGTCTCACGTCAGATGGGATCTTCTACTTGACTGCTGAGATCTGCTTGTTATCTAAATTAGGGTTTACTTCCTGCGTGGTTAAAGCAGACGACGAACGCAGCCGTTACATAAACGGCTTCTTATATAACATGTAACCAGATTGTGTATTGTAAAACGATGTAGGGTTGTTCATTGTCTTTATATTGAGCTGACTTTTGTGTTATAATATAACGTTCATTGTAATTTCTCAGACGTGTGTTCTTGTGGAGCCCGAAATTAATTTGTGTTTAACTTTCCTACATTCTTGTGTCCTTCTTAACCGCTTAACCTTCGTTGCAAATTTATTAGTTTGTCATATCTGTAGTAATTAGTATAATATGTATAACTTGATTGTATATTATGTAACATTTGATGAGATTGCATATTACAACAGGGAATTGTGCATAGTTTGAGCTTACTGTTTTAATTCATGCTTCATTGCCACCTGAACAGTCAGACTTGTATAGTGTCATAATAAAACTGAGCCAGGAATGCAGAGACTGACCACCAGGTGCCACGGAGGTGGAATTCAGCAATTAATTCAAGATGATGCTCGCTCAGAGGATTTGATTACTTACACAGATGGTTCAGTGTTAAGATGCAAAAGAAGTGCTTGGGATTTCTTAGCAAAAGTTGATGGTTGACATTTGGTGCAGAAGAGGCTAGCATATGATACCACAACATCCAGCTTAAGAATGGAGGTGGAGGCGGTCACTGCAGCTTTTCACTGGTTAGAGAACATGACACACACACACACATCGTGATTGTAACTGATTCAGAAAGCATGCTGAGATATTGCAGGACAGGGTTGCGATGTGCAGAGTGGCATGCTTCACTGCGGAGGTCACAAGTGAGGAGTATTGTCTTGATTTTTTCCAGATACCGGTATGTTGGGAAATGAACAGGCAGACAGACTGGCTGGCTCTGCACAGCTTGGTAGAATACTGATGTATGATAAGGCACATGTGGTTAGTGCCTTGTGGAAGAGTGTGTACAGTTGGGAGAAGCTGATGGATCACTACAGTCTGGTGAGATTGATGCAGGGGGAAGTGACGAGAGGTTCTGGCAGGTGCTTGAGACTCAGAGGAAAGACAATACAGTCATTTAATCAGAACGCTAATGGCACCATTAGTATTTGAATTTTTCACTAGCTGCTGAATTTTTCGGACAGAGCGCTTATGAGAATGCCCCGAGTGTTGTGATGTCAGTTCTTGAATCAACTCACATAACATTTGAGGTAGTTGTCTAATTATTATTGCACAACCAGTGGGTTGTTTATTGTATGAGCTTACATTGTTAAATCAAGCTTAGTTTGATGTATAGTACTAATATTACGCTCATTATAATTATAGTTAGTATTTCCACCAGAGTTTACAGCTGGTGAAAGCGAATAAGAAGAAGAAGAAGTAATGTTTTCCTTGTGAAACTCATACACACATTTTTATTTTTAATGATTTTTTTTTTTTTTTTTAAAGTTAGTCTCAAGTTAAACATAGTGGCAAACATAAGACAGTCATTTTGGAATGGTTTTCCTGAGTTTAAAGTTACTTTTCTTGCTTATAATTAAAATACAGTGCTGAAAAAAAAAGATACAAATATTGTTAAGTCTGTAAATAACACCAAATCTAGTAATTGAAGGAAAAAACAAACTTTATTTGTAAAGTTTAAGAATTGGGCACACATGCCTGTGTAACATTCTGCCCTTCTGGTCCTCCTTCTTTCATACATTCTTTCATTTATACATCATGTAATAATAAACATTATCAGCAGCAGCTAAATATTAAATACAAGCACTAGAGTAATGCACAGTAATGTAAGTACAGTAATGTAAGTACAGTAATGTAAGGTGTTTTGAGAATTTAACACGAGGGGGGAGGGGGGAGCAAAAAAAAGTACAGTGTTATCTTGGTATATGTTCTTTTGTTACAGTTCAACTTGGTGTAGTCCTGTTTAGACGTGAAAATCTTTGCTTGGAATACAACATTTGTTTAGAATATGACTGGCATGCTAGAACTTGTATGAGTCTAAATTAGTCATGAGACTGCATGCTGTTTGTTTACCTCACTTGAGACAAAGCGACAAATAGATGACAATGACTTTGCAGTGCAATATTACCCAAACAAAGCCTTAGCAAGCTGTAACACTATTGGCTGAAATGACCAGACAATGTCACATTTCTGGAACATCCTGAAAAGACAGAAGCAAAGTTCTTTGCATAGATTTTTAGTTATAGTCTAACCTGATGAGCCTCAGTGAGCTCCAAGTAGCGAAAAGAGACAGAGAGAAAAAAAAATATTTCAGATTCCTGAAGTTTTATTTGAAGTGGACTCTCCTTACAAACAATATCTTCTCCTCCTCCTTTCTCAGTTTCATCCTAGTAGGCATTCAACTCTTCTCAGGAAGGTAATGTGACCTTAAATGTTCATATGTTACATCTAATTGCTTTTGTGTTTACATATTTGAGAATTAAGCAGTATATTGATATTTTGAAAATTCTCCGTCCAGTAGCAGAGCGCTAAGATTTATTGAAGCCGCCACAATTCATTACCTCTGTCCTGAACTTTGTAAACAGAAAGACATGGTTATGACCCTGCATTTGCCCTGGTAAAAGCAGGCAGTTGCTTTTAAGTGTTGTTAAATTTGTACTTTAGTTATAAAGGATTAACTTATTTATTTGCTTCATTTATGTAATTGTTACTGTAGTATGCACCTGATGAGGATATACAGTGATATTTGCCAGGCAATAAATTGTGCAATCTGTTGTTTGTATCTTCTTTGTTCAAATATAAAATATATCTTTCAGCATTTGAAAGTGCATGATGTACTGACACTAACTCATTGATCACTCAACACTTATCACTAATCATTGTGATTGCTCACTACAAAACCATACTTACTAATATCAAATTAGGGTTTTTCCCTTAAAGTTCCAGCCCCATTGTGGGGAAGAACAGACCCACTGCTCCTTAACAAGGATGTTGTAAAAGTGATTCATTGAGAGCTTGCTGAAATCTGATGTGTCTGACTTCTTCTGTTTAGCGTTTACCAGCTGTTAACTCCGGCAAAGAGTTCTGGTTCTTTATCCACTTCTGGAATTAGGTCTTGTTCCTGAAGTTGAGTTTTGTGTGCACATTTATTTTATATCTTGTCTTATGCAGACTATTGGTTCCTCACTTTACAGGCAGAAGCACTCAAACTTTGAAGGAAACACCCTTAATTAATGCCCCCTTATGATGTGCTTCTTTTTCTTCGCATTCACCAGCTGTAAACTCTGGCAGAAAGTTCTGATTGTTCGTCCACTTCGCGACTGCAGTCCTGTTTCAGAACCTGAGTGTTGCATGTGCATCCGTTTGACAGATCTGACTGATGTATGTGCATATTGTTGGTTCCTTGCCTCTCAGGCAGATGCACTCCCAACTTCAAAGGAAGCTCCCAATTAATAGACTCTTATGACATGCTTTTGGGTAGGCATTGGATCTGTTTATGTTTTCCCTATAATAGGGCCCTGGAACCCACATAGGGATTGACGTGCTTATTAGAGGGACTGTGGTTCTGTTCTTTTTTCTCCCCACAATTGGGACTCTAGAAACTACATGGAGAATGTATAGGACTCACAAGCAGAATTATCACATCCTAGCTGTAAACCACAATACAGCATGCCACCTACCCTTTAAAGGGCAGATATTGATTAAATAGAAGAAAAAGACAACATGGCAGTCTTTTATTTTAATGTTGACTTTCATTTGTTGAATCTGCACAGCATTGATCAGACATGTCTGTTCAAAAGATTTATGGAGTGGTGGTTGTGGGACTTGGCATTGCTGGAAAAGTCCGTGTAAGGGACCTTAAAGAAGCGACATGTGGTTTTAGACTGCAAGGAGTTGTTTCAAGGTAAGATGTTTTTCTTCATAGTCTGCTTCATTTATCTTGCAAAAAATATTAATTTAAGTTCATAAAATTTCAGAACTTTTGACATGACATAGTCGTCATCATCATCTCAGCAGATCTTTTACAGAATGTCACTCAGCAAGGCATACCTTAAAGTCTGTCTTTTTCTAGCTAGTTCTCAGTGTTATGAATCCACGATTCTGGAGCTCTGTCTAATTTTTGTGTCGTAGTACTAGACTCATATTTCTATAGATCAGTCAGCGCTTGATGGGGTATGTGGACATCATGTCAGAAAGACTTCTTATAAAACATTCAGTTATTTAACAGTGAGAATGGTTTCACCGTGACCACAACAAATTTGCTGTCCTTAAAGCATAGCAAGCAAAATGGCCGTTCCAAACTGGCTTTATCTAAAATCATTTCCACACTATTTTGAATTGTGAATATCAATTGAATATCTGTGCACAAGATAAACTTTGGTCGCCATAAACTTGCCTCCCCAGTTTAGCTGTCTCAATAACCCTTTTTATAGTTTAAATATAATTTAGTGTTTCCTCTTTGCTCCATACGTAACGATGCTCCTGTCTCTAGTTACATAAAATTATGTTATACTTGTTGGACTCTCATCCCCCATGTGTGTTTCAGGGCCCCTTTTTGGGGAAAAAAGGAATAGATCCAACCACCACCACGACCACCGCTTGACGTAAAAGTCAAAAAATTTAGAAGTGTTTCCTTTTAAATTTTAATGCATCCTCCTACGACCTCCACACTTATGACTACAGAAAAAATAAGTAAATAAAATGCAGTGGTAACTCAGAATTCTAGCATAATGCATTTCAAGATTGTGATCCAACTTTTAAAACAAAGGATTCAGCAAACTCAAATTTAGAGTTCACATACACATAAAATGCTTAATTAGCAGTTGTTGCTCTAATGGCTTTTCTTTTACTTAGTTTTCAAATACTACACTTTTTACCAACCATAACTAATTCATTGTTTTAAAGGGGGAAATTTAAAAACAAATATGCACAAAATTGTAAAATTAGCTCAGAAAATTGGATCAAGCACTACACTTTTTACCAACCATAACTAATGCATTGTTTTAAAGGGGGGAAATTGAAAAACAAATATGCACAAAATTATAAAATTAGCTCAGAAAATCGTATGAGGTGATGAGCCAAGAGACAACAAATTTAGCTCGGTGTATGAAAACAAACTAATGCATAGATGGTGGTATGTGGTAGCGAGTGGCTGCATGTGCCAGGCTTTGGTTTCTAAGATGTTAGAATTCTGAGGCAAAATTTAATTGTTCCTGAGGTACCACTGTAGTAAATAAAGAAAGATAACTGCATTGGTAGGGTCAAAAAGATGGTGGAACCAATGCAGCAGAATGCATATTATGTATTTCACACATCATGAACAATAATTATTCTTACATAGATTGAATTGTTTTTAATTTTAGGTTCAATTTGTTTAACCCATTTGAGTGAAAATAGTGTTGAAAATTATAAATTTGACTTACTACCTGTTAGTTAGAAGATAACTTCATAAGTTGAGGAGACTGTGTATATATTTTGTGTTGCCTTCCAGACGTCCAGTCCAGATAGAAGGAGTGACAGCATTCAGCCTTGAAGAAGCCCTGAACAGCCCAAGTGTAGATGCACTAATTATTTGTGCTGAGAATGCTTTGCATGAGGACTATGTGAGGTAAGAACCTACTAACAGACTCTTTGTTTAAAGACACAGTGCCCTGCCCTTGTTGTCCTAGACTCTTCCGTGCACGTATTGGACTTATAAGTCACCTCTGGCCTCACAAACACTCAACTACAGTTTTATGATGGATGAAGGAAAGAGTGGTCCTCATCACTTGTGAAGAATGAACAAACGATGTGAGGTAAGTTAACTATTTACTTGGAATGAACCGATGCTTCACTTGGAATGAACCTTGGTTTACACCGACTTTAACGTCTAGGGTTGACAACACTAACGCCACTCAGCTTCATTGTACAATCTTTCAGTTTATTCTCGTCCATTTATTTCACTCGCGACATATTCGAACATTAACCATTCTCGCGACATAAAAACTACATCTTCAATTACTACAACCTTCTTCCCTGACTTCTGATGATCGACTGACCACGAGGCTAGCTCGGGCTTCGCCTCGCTTACTCTACCGGCCACAAGTATCTCGTGCCGTCACTTGTAGCACGGACTTCCTGCTTGCCACAATGTACTCGTGGAGACTATGCAAAGCAGGGTCATCACACTCCCTGTGTAGGTTCTGGGGCCCTATTGTAGGAAAAACAAAGCTGTATGAATTCTTTGGCCCACATTATGAGGAGAAGGAATGTGCTGGCGGTATTAGTATGAGGTGGTAGTAGTATGATGTCATATACGTGCCTGATTAAAGATTTTTTCTAATGAACCAACGGCACTCTGACAGAGTATAAATATTGGAAGGTCAGCTCGTATTGGTCTAGGCGGTATCCCGTGGCCAATATACATATCCAACATATTCAGGGCACTACAAAATATATATACTCCTAGGCGCAGCTTGGCCGGACATCCCCACTACTATAAGAAAATAGCCCCCAGACTATGATAGTTCACTATCATAATAGTCATGTTAACACATAATAAGGTTTAATATATTTATACATACACTCCAGACAGCTAAGAACAATGAAGGATGGACACTAACTTCAATATTGAAAAATTCCAAAGACATGTAATAAGCTCACCATATACATCATGAATCTGGAAAAAGGAATTCAATGGCATTAGGAATCGACAAGACATATTATATATGCATGACACTCAGTTTTTCCAGAGAGCCGCCAATATCATCATGGCACGTGTGAGAATAGTAAATCTAGGAACCAGGCTCTGAGTTCTGATGGACTTATCTTGCTCTGGGTCTGGTCCACAGCAACACTTGCATAAGACCAACTGGGACGTCTGAAACAAAGTCTGAAACAAAGTCACTAGACTGGTTGGCTCCTCGGCATCTCAGGAACTGTACTTGGAAAAAATATCACTCTGTCTGATATAATATTGAACAAGAATGAGTCACCACAAATCATAGGCACTGTCCGGCTTCTCCAGATGGCTCCCTGGATATGGACTTCTCCCACTGAAACAATGGCTGCTACCGAGCTGTCTGAACAGAGTCGTCAATCTGGTGCTATCTTCTGGTTGCCGGTGGCACATAAGAGTTTGTGGCAATCAAGCTGGTGGCTTTCAAGCTGGTGGCTGTATGGACCGTTGATTAACTACCTGGCTTCCAAGGAGATATCATCCTGTGAGGAAGTGGAACATCAAAATTAGCAGTCATCTCAACATATGCCTAGCATCTGCTTAACTCCATCCACACACATATATAGCTCAGAGGACAGCTCTCAGGATAAGACTGTATTAGTTTCTATGCACCAGTGTCAGTCAGTCCGTGTAAGAGACATGAGACAAGTTCCACTGTGGAGATAGACAGACTTCTCTCAGACAGAGAACATTATCTCTCCACATCCACATCTGCACCTGAAGTCACACAGACTACCACTCACCCACATATGTATATTATATTTTCCACAGTTTGACTCTAGCCTTCCAGGTACCCTGTGTTGTATCTGAGTTTCCTATAAATAACCCCTGATGTCACTTTGAGTGTCTCTCGCCGCTCTGTGAAGCTGTGTGCTGACCCAATTAATCTGCCGGCTTCTATGTCGCCATCCATTTTCACAACTAGTTAGTTATGGAACGATTGGACTGCTAAATTAAATCATTTAAACTAATGTTGGGGTTGTTAGTGCACATACTCTCAGCTTGAAAAGGGGAAGGTTTGATTTAGGTAGCAGGGAGTATTTTGACACCAAGAACAGTCTCACTCTGTAATGTCTCATAGCCGAATCATCCCTCTCCTCAGTAGCGGGGCCAAAAAAAAAAAAAAAAAAAAATATATATATATATATATATATATATATATATATATATATATATATACATGGTACTCGTAAACTCTAATCGACTTACCCAAGCTTTAGAAAATGTCCTGGACACAAAAGCCGCCTTCTCAGAGCACAAATTTTAGAGGCACATTTATGAAAATCAGTTCTTCTTGGCTGTCGGGCAGAGAATGAGAGGGAAAAATTGTGGCGTCACTTTAGCAGAAGAAGTGCGCCAATTAATACGCAGAGGTCGTGAATCATCGGATTAAGAATAATAACACAAAGAATCTCTAACTTTCAACTGTAAGTTTGAAAATGTAGACATTTCAAGAGATTCAGACCATATAGAAATATGTATTCCCTCATACAAAGGTGTAAATTGACATGATGGAATATATATCCACCGGACGGGTCGAAATTTGAATGTGACCTCTCCTCTAGGGGCGCCAGCGTCACAAATAGTCCAAAGTGTAGGGATGGTTATGGCCATTCTGTGACATATGAGGTGATAGTAGTATGAGGTGGTAGTAGTATGATGTGATGTGGCCAGTTTTTCTTTTCTCAACCTTTTCATCCTGGACAATTCTGAACACTTTCAGCTACCCATATCATATAGATGGTCAGCCCCAATGTTACCGGCTAAAAACAGAATACCTCTTCTACTACATGGAATTGAACCAGCACCGATGTCTTTGCCTGCACATGCATTTGCCACTCTGTCATTAGGCTTAAGCAGTGGCTCTAAATTAACTAAGACCTGTAGACCTCTCTTATATTTTTCTTGGTATGACTAAAACCACATCTTCTTCTTTTTTTTAAGCATTCCGATCCCTTGAGGTTCATTAATGCTGATATCATCCGCCTCCCTTCATCTCTCTGGTTGGTCTTCTCTTTCCAGTTGGTGACACCAGCTCCCATGTGTATACAGTTTTTAACCTCCGTGTCTTCTGACAATCTTACCATTCTCTTAATATATGCCCCAGCCTTTTCAGTATATAAGCTCTCATGTTGCCATTAATCAATGACGATTTAAACAGATTATCAATTTCATTGTTGCTTCTCACTCTCCATTCCCTGCTGTTTGCATCTTTGATGGGTCTAAAGACACAAACCACGTACTTTTGAATAATCATATTTGTTTTTAAAAAGAGAAAATTTACACAAAAATATTTTATAACAAGATGATAGTTAAAAAAGTACAGGTTTGTAATGGTATCTCAAACCCTTAAATTTGATTGTCCAACTCCTGTGTTCCGTAGACCACCAGATACTTTATAGAATATAATAAAAGACTAAAAATGAGAACCTATTAAAGGGAACATGACACAGCACATCTTATGGCATACTGTAGTATATGATTAATATGGCATTGTTGAATACCGGTTGACTAATATACTCATGATAAAAGTTTTTTTTTTTTTTATTGTTGAATGTACTGAATAACTAGTGAATGACTTTTATTCTGAAAAACTAGAGAATGATTTTATTGAAAAGCTGTATGAGTAAGTGAAGAATTTGCTGAAGAATTCGGGAGTGAGTTTATAAAAGCTGGTGGAAGTGTTAAAAAAACTGTTGAGTGTACTGCAAAACTAGTGAGTAAATACTACAGTCTGGCTATTGAGTGTGTTGAAAGACAAACTGTTTTTCTGCCTTTACACAGCATAGCTATAATATTTGCATCTTTTGGCTAACACATTCAACTTGTTCAAGTATTTATTGGCTGGGGTAGCCTTCCTAGTGAGTTTATTCAAAAACTATTAATCATCATGAGGGATATTTGGTTTATGGGTATATTGCGCTAGCATATTGTTTTGCTTTTTTTTTTTTTAAATTAAAGCAGTCAGTACTCATTGAGGGATATTGTCAACATTGCGCCAGCTGCTTTTACTTCTCTAGTAATATCCTTGGACACATTTTAGTCTAGAACGACTTTAAATCCCCACCTACATGGCCTTTTTGATCAACTTCAGACATGAGGGTGGAGGTAGAGACTGTCATGCAGCTCTGTAGTTTAAAGCTGAAAAGAGTTAGCAGAAGAATCAATAGTCTCTGATTTTCGGTCTTTATTATGGAAAGTGTAAAATAGACATTTGTAGTATCAGTGGATACCATGCATCAGCACTTTGACATTACTTAACTCACAAGTTTATAATGTTCGACACAGGCAGGACTGTGAGTAAATGAGTGAGCTGATTTTCTTGCTACAAAAAGAACTCTCAAAAGGGATAAGGCAGACATTCTGAAGACCATAGGTGAGGCAACGCTGTTGAAACACACACACTGTTAGAAAAGACAAAATAGGGTATGAGAATGTGAAATTGGGAGTGGATTCAGCAAAAAAGGGCTTATAATAGGAAGAGTAGGACATGTGTAGAATCACTGTGTTACTGGAACAAACAGTATATCCAACTTAATTTTTTTTGTAGTGGGAGGTAAGCATCTTAGTGTGCTGCTTGCTGTGATGTTGATTTTGTTAATCATTATCTTTAATTCTTTCACAAATTTTGTTCTCTTTTATTATTACTATGTGCCTCATAAAAATGAAAAATATCAGGTATTTATATCTCTTAATAGAAAAGGTCTCGAGAGTGGCAAGCATGTTCTTGTTGAATACCCAGTGGCCCTGTCTTCACAAGCTGCCAGGAGCTTATATGAGCTAGCCGATGAAAAAAGTAAGAAACAATATTTCCAAGTTTTATTACATTAGAACTTTATTAACACAAATTCTAAGGAACCAAGAAATCAAGCATTCATCTTTACAAAAAAAATGCATGACAACTGGAGAATAACACATTCCTGCATGGACAACAGTTTTGGTCATGTAAACTAAAGGTAAATCTTAAGTGAGTTAATCGTAATATTTTCTTTGTGACACTTTTAATGAAATTATCCTAGTTGTCGGTGTTCAGACATCCCAAGTTTGATTCTGCAGACGATTTTGCAGCAACTGTTTTGCATTCATCTTGACAATGATATGGGCAGAGGCAAACTACTGAACGTAATATTGCCTTGTGTAGCCACAAACAGCCAACAAATGTTGGCATTAGTTTGCAACGTCCTGTAAAGTATTTGTCAGTTTAACTTGTTTTCTTCTTTTTCTTCCTAGCATTTACCGTTTTTGACTCGGCAGAGAGTTCTGGTTGCTCATGCTCTCCTAGACCATGCTGTTGATCTAGAACTCAAGTCTTATGTGAGTTCCTTGCCTCCCAGGCTGATGCACGTCTACTTTCCGGGAAACTTATATTTGATTAGTCGCATCCTACGACATGCTTGTTAAGGGTGCTGCATCTGCTCTACTCTTTGTATTCCAAAATAGGGTCTAGGCTTCCTTTGAACCCTGTGCTGTCTGACTGGGCTTTCATAGCAGAAATGGAAAGGAGGATTCAGGCCTTTGAATATAAATGCTCTATACAAATTTTACAAATTAGCTATTTAGAACATACAGTTAATAAATATGTAAACGAAAAAATAAACAAGTTTGCAGGACGTCAGGAGTCCGCAGTGGTGGAATGTCGCAAGTTGGTTTGGTTCGGGCATTTGGTGAGACATGATTCATTTGCTAAAACTTTGAGGAACACTGATGGTTAGTCAAACAAGATGGAGGCAAAGAGGAACCTTCAATGACATCATCAAGAAATGGACAGATCTAAATTATTATACACTTGTTTATGAAGCAAAAGACAGAGAAAGATGTTGGCTTTAGTGTTCTAGGGCTTCTACTGATACACCTTCATGACCCTGATAGGTGAAGGGTTAAATAATTATATAATTCCTGGTTGACCCAGCTTAAAATGGGTCCTAAAAAATGTCCAGTAAATAAAGACAGCTGGAAAGATGTTGACAACATCACTTAATGCAAGCTATAAACAAATATGGGTCTAACATTTGTAGGTGGCATGAAAAGGGTCCTTTACTTTTTATTTAAAATGTTGCATTTACTTATTATGTGCTCCGCTGTCTGACTGTTTATTTGCCACATTGTTATTCCCAAGAAGAAATATCCCAATGCAGTAGCCAGTCTTCAGCTATTGCTTGCACTGAATAGAGAGAATTCAATAGAATGATAAAATCACACATGTAGAAGTTTGAGAGAGAGTACAATTTTTAGTGAATCAAGAGGTGGAAAAAATAAGGCTGGTGTTGGATAGGGCACAGCTAGAAAAATCTGAGAACAATATGACTACAAGGGCCTTATGCAGTATTCTACAAGGGTGTAGAACATATGGAGACAAAAAACACATTGAAAAAGGAACTTGAGAGTGAAGTGAAAAAAGAAGGGGAGGTCATCGGGTGAGCTGCATATGATAGCAAAAGACAGGATGACTTAAGTTGGTTGAGGACCTTTGCTGCATTGGGAGATACAGGGTTTCTTCTCAAAGTCCGTGTCTTGTGGTATTGATAGTCATGTCTATCCACAACTTTCTGTCTCTTGTTCTTTCAATCAGCTCTGATTCTCCATGCCATGATGTCGGACTGTCCAGCATTTTTTCTCTCTGTCTCCCTCTGCTTCTGTTCACCTCCAACTTTCCTACTGTCACAATGTACTCTAGTTTTCTCCTTCTCATCACATGACAAAAGAATGTAGACTATCTCTTTCCGATGTGGGCCATCAGTTCTCTTCGTGAGTCAGCTTCTTTTAAGACTTTCTCATTACTCTTGTTATCTGTATAGGGTGTTCTCATCATTTGTTTGTAAAACCTCATCTCGGCAGCTTCCAAATAATTTTTAACTCATCTACCAAAAGAGATAAAGGGCAGAAAAAAAACAACAATATCCAGTCTTAAACATAGTGAGTCAGTTCAACTGTCTCGCAACAGTTATAACATCCTTAAGAAGATGCCTTTAAATGAGAATCTCTATAGCATAAGAAACCTTTTGGAAGGTCAAAAACATCATTATCAAGTGCCCTAATGGCTGGTATGGGCGATCATGCCTCTCCAGGATAATGTGTCCATGACATAACAAAGTGCTATCAAGAACCATCTTGTGTTGTCTTCAACTATCTCTGTTTCCATAAATCTTTTCATCATGTTCCTTCTTCTCATAAAGTTTGCGCCAAAGAATTCCTACTGCCTCTTTCTGACCTTTATTTCAAGTCTTCTTCTCTTTCAATAAACATATTTGATTTTGGTGTCAAATTTAGTGTGAGGGGGGGGGGGGGGGGGGGGTGTGGTATTAATGTGTGGTTGGGTGTGTTCTCTCTTGTGTGGATGGGTATTACAGGTGTATGTAAGTGGGGGGAGGAATGAATAAGTGAGTGAATGCATTAGTAGGTGTGTTTTGTTTGCATATCATTTAGGAATTTACCACGCATGCTTTTGTGTTTTCCCTTGATATTCATATTATGCATATTGTTATATGAACATAACATGCTTTATTGCTAAAAAGTAATTGCTTAAAGGTAATTGCTTTGTGAAAGACAAATGTTTGGAAGGGTCGAATGTAAGACAGGCTGTGTGCCCAGTTTGTGACCCTTTGAAAAGGAAGGTTCATTCGCTCATTCATATGTTCACTTGTATTTTTGTTATATGACAGTACTGATAATGAAATAATGGTTGTAGTGGTAATGCTAATAATCATATTGCTGTTGTTGTTGTTGTTGTTGTTGTTGTTGATGATGATGGCCTATTAGTTTTGAAACCACCTATACAAATTATTATTTGTCATATCAAAACAGGGCTAGTGCTACATGAGGAAGATATCGCACTGCTGACTGAAAGTTTCAATGTCTTGAAAGCAAAAGCTGAAAAAGTGGAGCTGAAAGCAGCAGATTACACTGTCAAAGGTCATTTATTAGCTATGCTATGAATTCTTACCTATTTTTTTTTTTATAGATCATCGGTGGTTTGTTCAGCGTGTTCTCATATCTGCTTTTGCAAAACTCCCAGAATTATTTCTGTTCTTTTTATTCCTCATCTTTATGGTGGTGCTGTTGTTTTTCTTCTTCTTCTTCTTGTTTCTTTGTCTCCTTTATCTTCTGCCACTGTTGTTATCGCCTTTTTTTTCACTTCTTTTATTTTCCCCAACCAGTTTGGATCTGGACAGTGGAGAGATAACATCCAGGCAGACTTACAAACACTTGAAGTCATCACCTGGAAAGAGAAGTTCAATCACAGAGGTGAATTGGGGCGGGTGACATCTGCAGCAATAAACCTCAAGGGCTTGGAATGCTGAAGAAAAAAAGTCCGGTTCTGGGATACACCCAGCCTCTTAACACAGCTTTCAGAATTGTCTGGGAATTGTGTGGAAACGAAATACGACAAGGAAGGAAGCTGACAACCATACTTCAGGGCCTGTGTGATGCCTAATACGTCACATCCCAGTGGGAGTATCTGCTTACACTTACCTTTTGTTATCTCCATAATTTGTTTTCTGTACCAGAATCATGAGCTTACCATGCCTCCATTAGTAGGTTTACCACCCTGGAAGTCAAACCTGGATGTCAAATGCCAACAGGAGTTGGATTTGTCTGTGGTAAAGCACATTTAAATCATTCAGATGAATTAGGAAGAAGATGATTCAAATACTTGACCACTTAGCATGCCACCCACTGTGTTACTACTACTCCCTGTTGCTTGGTGACATACTTGTAAAGGCACTCAGCTGTTGGCATAGTGGCCAAGCTTCACTTCCTTGTCATGTAGTCAAATTAACATCTTAGACTTGCTGTCATCAGCCAGCATATGCAATGTCTTTAAAGTTTTTAAAGGTGAGGGGATTGACTTCATTGCATCAGGTTTGATCCCACCTTGCTTGGTCACCATCTCCACAGCATGGTTGGACACCAGCAAGAATGTTGCACAAAGCATAATGCCTGTACTTCCCAAATCCATCCCATGTTTTTTACGAAACACATGCACTCTTGGTTCATGAAACTAAATTACAGAGCTTAACAATAATATTTGCAAACATTCACTGTTACGCAGGGTCTTACAATGGGTGGATCGAAGACTTTGACAAATCTGGATTGCCCTTTATAACTGGAATCTCCGGCATTCAGACTATGCTGGCCCTCTTTGGGGATTTGACCGTTGTTGGGGCAAGGCTGGACAAAAGGGAGGATGGATTTGTTGCACATGCTGACCTGAAAACTAAAAATGGAAAGTGAGTAATTGTGTACTGTTTTCTGGGAATTATGTACTGAATAGTTGTTGTCTAGCAGTAGCAGTGTCATTTGGTAAAAATTATGAGAAAATCTCTTTCTTCTTCATCTAAAGGTGTAATTGCGTTGTGTCCGTTTACAGCATGGCTGCAAACTTTGCACCTTTCGGCCAATACATCCGACTTCTGTGGGTATTTGTTGACCAGGTTAGCCTTCCTGGTTGATGAGAAAATAATCTGGCTGGCAACATATGCTTGATGCACTGCTGGTGTGAAAGGGTTCTTTACTTGTAAGAAAATGTACATTTCCTGTAGCGGAAAGCAGGTGTGAATTATAGACTGTTTCATGATCACTAAAGAAGAGAATAAGAAATGTTGAACTTCAATGTTAAAGAACAATTATTCCTATTATTACTCATGTTGCTTCTGGGGCCTTATTGTGGGGAAAACAAGAATAGACTCACTGCCTCCCCAACAAGCAGGAGTCGACTAACTGGGGACATTTTGGAGTGCATCTGCCTGAGAGGCAAGGAACCACAAGTCTGCATACAAATTAGCCAGATCTGCAAAACAGATGTGAACATGGCACTCATGTTCTGGAATAAGACTAAACTCCAGAGGTGGTCGAACAACCAGAGCTTTCTGCTGTAGTTTACAGCTGGTGAATGTGAATAAGAAAGAGGAAGATTACTATTTTTTAGCATGCGTTTAGCTCACTAAAACACTATTATTATTACTCAGTTATATTCCTGTTAAATTAAAATCTTCTATTTTAAAACTGAGGAGTCTTGGTGGTTCAGTAGCGGGCACACTTGCCTGCTGGGTCAGCGTTTTTGTGTTTGAAATCTCTCCAAGCCAAGATTTCTCTCACTGACCGGGCTCGTAAATCAAAGCAGATAGTAATGGGAGCCATATTTCCTGGAAAGTAAAAGCAACCATCAGATGCCAATTTTTATTCTCTTCTTCCTCCTTCTGTCCTCACCTTTCTCTTCCTTTTTTGCTGCCACCTCTTCCTCTTCATCATCATTTTTTTCTGTTCTTCTTTTGTTGTAATTAATCCTCAAACGATACAAATGTCAAGTCATTATGTAAGCTTTGCTATCTCATGCAACTCACCTTATGTCTCTTCCATGTGTCGCTTTGTTCCTCATTGTCTAATTTTACTTCTCTATATGTTGTTTATCTGTTTGTCTTTATTCCTTTGGCTATGGTTTCTAGTGCAGAGACATTCTAACTATATTGTTATCAGGTTGTCTCATTGTGTGACCTAGGCAGTACCAACATCTTTTCCTTCACCTCTTGGTCACTGGAGTGTGTTTAGATCTCTGAAAGCTGTACATTTATGACAAGTGTCATTTGATATTTTTAAAAAATTGTATGAGGCCAGCATTGTGTACCCATGATGTGCACATCATGGTATAAAATATTAGCCTTTTACCTATCCTTGTTAACACTGACAGGGATTTTGGATTCTGTTTCAGGCCTATCAGTATGACCTTTGAAAGGACAAAAACTAAGGAAGCCAGAAGGGAGAAGAAAGCCATTTATGAATTTGAAGATGGAGACATCATAGATGCAGACAAAATACCAAACTCACCACAGTCAAAACCAGGTAACCCTAGTATTGTCTCCCAGTAATAGAAAACTATGCAGCTATAAGGACAGTCAGAGAAGCACTGTGGTGTGGTGGCTAGACACTTGCTGCAGATTCAAAGGTCCTGTGTTTGAATCTGAACAGAGCCAGACTTTTTTTTTTCAGAAATGATCTTGGCTCCCATGTTGACCTAGCCTTAAATGGGTACTAGGTGAAGTCCTCGGAAGTCAATGCAGCCATCATGAAGTTGAAAGATCACCCATCAAGTGCAGAATGCAATATAGCTCTAGCCCAGTAAACCAGAAGATATGGAAAATGATTCTTTACTTATGTGGACAGAAAAGCAGTGCTTATATAAGTAAACTAAGAGCTTTTTATCCATGGGCTGAGTGTATGGTGTATATTGTAAAGCCCTGTATTTTTCTAGGCTAACCTGCACTCGATGAGTGTTGTGGCCAATATCGCATCAGCTGTCTTTACTATCCATACAGTTTTCTAGTACCCATGTTCAACTGAGCCAGCCTGGCACCACTAACCAAGAAAACATCTCCGCCTCAAGGGGGATTAAACATATGGTCATTATGTTGGGGAACAGATTTACTGGCCACAGCACTACTGCAATTTTTCAGTGTTTATGCTGATGAAAAAATAACTTGTCTATACATATGAAGGAAACATTTGTTTTCAAAGATGTCTGTTTTGTGCACTGTCACCTATCATGAATTTCTTACAAATTTAAACAACTATACTCTTCACTGGCTGCTGAAGATGGGGACAGAGCGCTTATAAGAATGCCACGAGTGCTGTGATGTGGGTTCTTGAATCAACTCAGCTCAGCTCAACTACTATAGCATCAGCCAGTATCACTCTGCATACAACTACCATATTTCTCAGAAATAAGACCTGACTTTAATAAACCCTAGCTTGCTTTTCAGGATGCTCATAATACAAGCATTAATCCCAAATGTAAGCCCTTGTTAAGATCATCAGTCTGAAGGACGGATGTCATTTGTCAGTTTAAACATTTGATTGGCGTATTGAATTATAAAGTAATTAATGTCTACATAAGTAAGTCACTTATTTTAAAATAAATGTTTTAAATTACAATTAAATATGTGTGAAATAAAAACATATAAATGTGGGTTTTTTTTTTTTTTTTAAATACACATGCCCTGAAAATAAGGCTTTTAAAGAAAAGATTTCATATAGGATCTGGTCTTACTTTTGTGGAAACAGTGTATATATGAGAAATTCCTGAAATTGAAGCTAATTGCAACATTTAATAGAGGTGTTAATGCATGTGACATATTGGTGCAAGCGGGAAATTGTTGTGTTTTTTTCTCTCATTTTGTTTGTGTATTTAGCAACTCATTATACATTTATAGGTTTCCCTACAGATTTCTATGATGATGGTCTGGTCTTGAACTATTGTCCATTTAGGATTTCAACTTTTTCGGCGCCAAACATTTGTTACGCTAACTACCTCTCTTTCAAAAAGTTTAGCATAATTTAGTTTAGATCTGATTGAGGCAAACAGCTGCTAGGAGGCAAAAGTGGTTAAATGAATAATTAACATTTTTTGCAGTTTTATTATAATATTTGTGTGTGATAGAAGGCAACCAGAACATCTTATTATCGCATATAGATAAGGATATTATTGTCATTTAGAACAGATAAGGAGCCAAGTTGGTCCTACTGTCAGTTGCCAGCCCAAAAGACATGCATTTTGTAGTCAACAGCTGTTTCACAAAATATGTTCATTGTGACTATCTGTCCTGCTTTGGATTCCAGATCACTAGCTTAAATGCTAATGAAATAGCAGACAACTGGCCAGAAGTGGCAGCAACATGGTGCAATCAAATTGAAATATAATCCACCTGGAGGCAAAGTTAATAGTTTTTTGCGTATCCTTACAGGACACTGCAGAACTGACCCAGCAGTTTTTGGATGTTATGGTTTTTCTAGGCAAATTTTTATATTCAGTAGTTTGCCATTGCTTTCTCAATGGTCAGCTCACGGTACCACTGTTGAAACCAGTGCAAGACAAATTGTCCACAGCTAGGATTGAACTCAGCATTACGATGTGCGTTCGCAACGCCTAAGCCAAAGACACTGATTAAAAATTGGTATTCAAGAAAGGGGGCTGGATATCAGTTTTTCTCCCCAGGCCTTGGTTTTGCATCATCTCTTTAGAGAGGGGAAGTATATCATCTTCAGAATAAGGTTAGAGAGTGATCGCCTTCACCAGCATATTTAGAAGTCTTTTCCAGAGAAGCCATCTGACCTGTTCCTACCCTAGCCAGTACAATGCTGAATGGTACACAGGGAGATTTGGAGTGAATGATTATTTTCATCAAGGCTACCAGCCCTGATATAAGTATTTTGACAGAACGATTAATGAAAAAGAAGGAAAAAGAAGAACTAAAGAATGTAAGGAACACTGTTTTTATGAAGAAGTTAAAGATACTTTTTTTTGCATCGTTACAGGTTTATTCATGCAAGATCTTCACCTCTTTTACGCTGATGTTCAAAATGGAAAGATCTCGGATAATGCTAAACACTTATCTGTCCGTAGCCTAGAAATCGCTGAAAAGATCCATTCTTTCTTCTAAGTTGGCTTAGAAAATCTATGGAAAAATCTCCAGAGCATGGATTTTTATCTCACTGAAATGTTATGTTTTTACAATCACCCTACTGCGTATTGGGCATTCCAGTACATTCTCCCTCTTCTGATGCAGCACCTATCTTGAAATACCTGTACTAACTGTTGCTGTATGGAGTTGCTTTATTGGCTTTGAAGATGATATGGACATACTTAATCAGGTTAGCATCAGAGAGACTCATCATTATCCAGCAGTCTGCCTCACTGCCTTACTTGTATCATGTTTGTATTCATCAGATTTATTCTCTTTTTATTAAAATTTACGTAAACAAAAATTATTTTGTTGTTGTTGTTGACTGATTTGGTTTTTGAAGCATTAGGTGATTTCAAAGATTATTAGTCTCTCTTTGGCCATATTCAGAATTATGTAAACAGTAAACAAACGATGTCTGGCTGGGGATTTTCAGCTAAAATTAAGGGAAAAATTGTGGCAGAACAAAACAGAGCTTTTTTATCTAAAACTTCATGCATGAGAATGGAAGTGAAGGCAATCACTGCAGCTCTGAAGTGGATAGGAAAAAAACAAAATTACCAGAGGAGTTATTGTGTCTGATTCTCAGTCGGCATTTGCTGAAGGTTAAAATTAGACATGCGGCACGAGTGAATACCATGCATCAGTATGCCAACATTGCAAGGAATCAGGTGGATATACTGTCCGGGATATGCAGGAGTGCAAGAGAATGAAATTGCGGATTTTCTAGCTGCAAAAGCTACAGGGACACTTATATTAGACAAGGGAGATATTCTAAAGATCATATATAAACAACTGCAGACAGAAGATTAGATGAAATAACATGTGCAAGAATGTGTGAGCGAGGAATTAGGTGTGGATCTGGCAAGGAGGGACGGATGAGAGGAAGAGAATGACGTGTAAATAATCTGTGTGCTACGGGAACCATTAGCATCTACACTTGACATTATTTGCTGCGGGAGACGGAGCATCTATGGGTATGCTTGTTGTGCTATTATGTTGATTCTTCTTAAATCAGTAATCAGCGAACAAACCATTTAGCAGTGACAGTGATACAATGTAAAAACCCATGCCCACACATGCTATTAAAAGAAAGGAAAGGACCTTGTTCCATTCTTGTATGCATACTGGATAAATGATTTCCCTTCTGTAATTTGTTTTTTCATTAGAATCTAGTCCTTTAGTGAACCACACTAAGCAGTCGTATCTTTTACTCATCTCCCTGAGCTTCTCCCATGTCATTATATTATTTATAAAAGTTATAGTAAAGTAAAGGACCCTTTTCCATGTTTCAGGCATATAGGACCTTTTTCCACACCTTCAGGTTTATTGGGCATATAGGGCTAGACCTATATTTTATAGGCCGTATCAGCACTTGGACGGTCTGGTTATACTTCTCAGGACTTTGCCTAGTACGCATTTAGGTCCGGACCAACATAGGAGCCAAGGTCGTTTTTGAAAGAAAACAAGTGGTAGGCTCCGTAAAGTTTCCCTCTATTCCCTCTATCCCTGTCTGTGACTTAGGTGATGCAAACGTGCTTCTTAACATCAAATTACGTGGTTCGATTCAAACTGTGTTTAGCAAAGCACTTTATTTTGATTTTGATAGAGATATTAAGATCCTACCATTCATAAAGCAGTGGCAATGCCTCCATTTCGTCGGCATATATTGCCATTTTGATTCCATTTGGTATCTCGGCAACCAGATCGTTAATGAATAAGAGGAAAAGTGTGGGCTACAGGACACCACTTTGAGGGACGCCAAGCCGCAGTAGAACTTTTTTACTTTTGAAACCATCTACCTGTACCCGGGCTCTTCTGTTATGTAGATACGCTTTAATCCAGTTGTACATTCTTCTATTTACTTTATAGCTTCTCTATTTCTTCAAAAGCCCCTCCTTCCAAACCTTGTCAAAAGCTTTCCTTAAATCTATCCATGCCGTGAGTACCAGTTTCTAATCTTGAAAAGCATCCTCTATATCTTGGGAGATTTATGTTGTTCCGTAAAGTAGAACTTTCTAAAGCCGGCCTGCTGTGGTGTAATGATGTTTTCATTTTCAATGTACCCATGTAGTCTGAGGCTGGTGATGCACTCCATTGTTTTGCAAAGGCAGCTTGTGAGGCTGATCGGTCTGTAGTTCGAGGCATTAGAACTGTCTTTCCCTGGCTTTATGAGGGGTATCATAATTGCCTCTCTCCAGATCTGTGGAACATTTCCTGTTGCCCAGCAAGCATTAAAAGCGGGCATCATCAAAATAAGAGGTGATAAAGAGCCCACGTACCTCGCGGTCACATTTGATGACAGGTTGACATGGAGAAAACATATTAACAAAACAGCAACCAAAGCCAGGAGGAAGACAGCCATACTAAGAAAACTAAGTGGAACCACATGAGGAGCCAGTGAGAAAATACTCAATAAAGTATACAACAAGCAGAGCATGCAACCACACTTGGAATATGGGTCAACTGCATGGTGTTCAGCATCTAGTACCACAAAAAAAGGAACTGGACAAAGTGCAAAATCAAGAGTCATCACATCAACCCTCATATTTAAAATGGAGAAAGTTGGGAAAACACAGGCACTGAGAGAACGCAGAGATACAAAGTTGCAAATACAACCTGAAAAGTTCCTCAGTGTGCCAGATCACGCCTTGAAAAATAGATTTCAGAACCTAGCCTTGGGACTGTTAAAAGAAGCAGCTTTATACATCAAGAAAAAAAGAATATGTAGACAAACTGCTGACCTTCCAGAAATTGGTTGTCCACTTAAAAGTATTCCAGAACAAACCCCATTAAACAAAATGAGAAAAATTAAAACTATCAGTACCAATCCGGACAAATGTGAAAGGAATACTTGACAAGAAAGTGCAAGATAGTGTACAACGCAGAATGGCCACCCACCCTCAGTTATATTGATGAAGAATACCCACAAGTACAATGGGTCAGAGTCTATACAAATGGTTCCGCACAAAGTGCAGTTAGAAATGGTGGTGCTGGAGTTTACATAGAATTCCCAATGGTACTAGGGATAAGTTCAGCGTACCAACCGGAAAGTACTGGTATAACTATGATGCAGAAACTCAGGCTAAAAAGAAAGGAACAGATTAACTGCTAAATACCAGTCTTTGCTCACATTATGTGGTAATGCTGACAGATGCAAAAGCAGTACTTGAAGCACTCCAGTCTAGGAAACTACCAGAATTGCAAACACTGCTGACACAACTTAGCCTTCAGCGAAGAGTTGTAATGCAGTGGATACCGTCTCATTGTAGAGTGCCTGGAAATGAGAGAGCTGATCAACTGGCAGGAGAAGGTTCAACAAAAGTGCAGGCGGTTGTACCAGTCACATGCCACCAAAAGAAAAGAATCTATCAGGAAACCACCAGCCCCAGCACAAGATGACTATTTTAATATGGACAGATCAGAACAAGTCATTAACATCCGCCTCAGAACAGGGCACAACTGATTACGTAACCACATGTACACAAAATTCAAGATAGCTGTATCAGCCATGTGCTCCTGTGGAAAGGTGCCGCAGACAGCAGAGCATGTACTCCAGGGCTGCACAGAATTTGACACATTAAGGCAAACCTTTTGGTCAGAAAGAACAACAGTGGAACGTAAATTCTATGGACCACTGAATGAACTAACAACGACAGTGTAAGAATAAAAAGAAACTCCATAGGGGAGCATGTACAGCAGGAGTCTACCAATCATCAGTAGAAGTAACCTCTCGTCGACAAATGTTTCGGCCCACGAGCTCCTAGACATTTTCAGAGTGTGGGCTCACCTGAGTTCATGAAGCTCAGGGTTGGTTTCCCCTGTTGCACGTATTACCGGATGTTATTCGGACAGGAATAAGACGAATTGGTGATTTTGCAAAAGGTACTGTGAGATAAGAAGTCGTCGTGGTAGCATAATTAAAGCAGTCTGCATTCCTGGACGACCGAGTGGCAAGCTTACGATTGGTTTACCGGACACATGTTGGACTTTATTGGCAGGTGGCAGAGGGACACTGGCAGACAATTCGGACACGATGGACTTTGAGGGATAAGACATTTTTGTCCACCAGTCACCCGCACCAGCTCACCGAGGTCCGTCCCCCACGTTGTTCCGTTGTGTCCAGAGCCAGCTCGAGGCCCTCTCAGCAACCTCGCCCAGTTGTTTGAGTGTCCGTTTGCGTTCATTACCTTGTAAGCCTAGTTGTTTAATCACATTGTAGAGGAAAGTGGAAACGAGACCTCTTGCGCGTACTTCGACGGCGAAGATCCGTACTGTGTACGCTTCGTCTCTCCTCCGACCGGCTGCTAGGTCTTGTATTTCTCGAGCTTATACATATGGCTTTCGTCTATTCGCGACTCATACGGCACGGTCAGCTCAATCAGGATGAGCTGACGTTTCTCCGCAGAGTGGAGAACTATGTCAGGTCGCAGGCCGGTCTTCCGGATTAACCCAGTGTACTTCAGAGTACTCAGAGTCAACCGCCAGTAACCAGTCCCTCGCAGAGTCTAGCATAGATGGAGCGTATGCGACTTTGTTGACCTTACCTGTGTGAATCTGCCAACCTTAAGGAAGCGTATGGGGACGATGGTAGGACTGGCCCTCGCATTGGCCCTCATCCTAGCGTGGTCCACAACTGCTCCAAATTCTTTTAGCACCTTGATGGGGCACCAAGTATATCAGCCTTGACCTAGGGCTTTTCTGCACGCGGACAGAACGTGCTTGAGCGTTCGCTTGGCTCTGCACAGCGGGCATGTCGGGTTGTTAGCCGCAGACCACTTTACAATGTTGACACCAGACGGTAATACATCATAGGCAGAACGAACGATGAAGCTCAGTCGCTGCGGTGTCATTCGCCAGATCTCACCCCATGTGAGAACTCTTGGCAAGGTGCTCTCCAGGCTGATCCAATGGCCCTGGATCCAATGGCCCTGCTGCGACTGTTGGGCTGTTTCTGAATCCGAACCTCGTTTTCGTTG